GAGAGAGAGAGAGAGAGAGAGAGAGATAGAGAGAAAGAGAGAGATAGAGAGAGAGAGAGAGAGAGATAGAGAGAGAGAGAGAAAAGAGAAAAAGATTTTACTCCGGATACCCTCATCTTGACCTTGACCCAGACTGACCTTTACAGGTGTTGATGAGGCCGTTTCCGTCCTGGGCCGTGCGTCGACCGGCCGGACATGGTGTGCACACTTGTCTGTCACTGGAGTATGTGTTCGCGGGACATACAGTGCATGGCGCAGAGCCTGTGCTGGAGCTGTAGCCAAACGGACACGTCACTGGGGACGACATAGTGGATGGATTACCTGTATTACCTGTCCTGGGCAACAACGTCATTGCACACCGGACAGGTCCATACGCGCTCAGTTCCCCCCAGCACCAAAGCCCGCAAGGTATCCATACTGATTGTTCCGGTGGCTGTCTGTTTATGGCGACGTCTTTCCTTTCCAGATAATCGTTAATAATAGTGGATGGATGGACGCTGGTTATACATTCACGTCTCCTTTCTTCTGTCACTTGTGTTATACCTCCATCTCTCCTTTTTTCTGTCACTTACATAATGTTTATCTACGTGATATCTCTATTTCTCTTTTCTTCTGTTATTTTTACACATCGTTTATCTACGTTATACCTCCATTTCTGTTTTCTTCTGTCACTTATTTCCATCGTTTATGTACGTTATACCTCCATGTCTCCTTCCATCGTTTATCTACGACTTTACCTACATTAATCGTTTATCTGCGTTATACCTCCATCTGAACCTTTTTCTGTCACTTGTATAAATCGTTTATCTACGTTATACCTCCATTTCCCCTTTTTCCTGTCCCTTATATTCATCGTTTCCCTCCATTTCTCTTCTTTTTTTTCGTCGTTCACATACATTGTTTATCTATGTTATACCTCAATGTATACATTATATGTCTTTTATTATATCTCCATTTCTCTTTATTCCTGTCGTTTGCGTACATCTTTTTGTAAGTCTTTTATCTACTCTATACCTTCATATCTCCTTTCTTCTGTCACTTATATACTTGTTTATCTTTCTTATACGTTCAAAATTGTCCATGGCGGCCTCCTATTTTCGTGAAAGAGCTAGACCAGTCTGTTGTTGTTCTAGATCCACGATTGTCTTGGGTGAAAGTCAAAAACCATCTTCGTATTCTTATTCTTATTCTTATTATGATTATGATTATTACGATGATGCTGATGCTGTTACTGATGCTTCTGATGATGATGCTTCTGATGATGCTTCTGATGATGCTTCTGATGATGA